TGAAATCCACAAGGTCATGTACATAATCATTGTTCTTGGCTTTTCAAGGCTATGTTAACTACTTATACAAAGTAAGAGTTTAGCTCTTTGCTTGATAAGAGTTTCCGGTATTGAGAATCCATCCAGCTTTTGTTAGATTCTTTTAAAGTCGTGGAGGCTGGTCCATTGGGTCAAATGGGATGCTACCCAACCAACCTCAGTCTGCAGTCAGCCAGTTCTCACCTCCCTCCCTTCTTTCTTACAACCAGTTTAGAGAGTGGCATTGGCTGTAAGCTTCCTTCTCCTTAGTCTTAGTCTCAGCCTTACCTTCATTGAAATGAGGGGAGGTTCTGACTGTCATTAGCTTTGACCTCACGTGCTGTTGGCCTTCCTCCCTACCAGTCCAATGGGCACTAGTCCCCACTGTTTAAGATTCCCTAGCCAAGAGAACAAAAAGTATTGCAATAAAGCAGGCTTCCTCAAACTCGGCCCTCCAGATGTTTTTGGCCTACAGCTCCCATGATCCCTAGCTAGCAGGACCAGTGGTCAGGGATGATGGGAATTGTAGTCTCAAAACATCTGGAGGGCCGAGGTTGAGGAAGCCTGCAATAAAGGAAAGCAGGAGCAATGTGTCTTATGTAGACTTGCATGCAGAAGCCAAGAAGGCCAAGTAGCTAGTGCCATCAGCTCCTTAAATCAGGCTGGGAATACTATACCATTGGTTTCTGTTATATTAACAGAATATTAACAGAAATATTAAGCTGTGTAAACAGTCTTTGGTACCTTGGTGGAAACTCAGGCTGGGTGATACCTGTTTTTCAACATCGCGATATGTCACCAGGTATATCACAAACTAAACATTGCAATTTAGTGATATATTGTGATGTCTGAAACATGGGACGGGTGGGGAGGGTGGAGATTGGGCGAAGGAGCAGTCATTGAAGATTGCACAGGGTGTGTGTATGGAGATTGGACGAAGGAGCAGTCAAGGAAATTAATAGGTATGTGCTGTGTGCACTGCATATTCCTTCTCTTGGAGGCAGACAAACCCTCACATTTGGTGGGCGAACTCCTTCCACTCCTCTCTGGAAGTAGAAAGAGGAGGCAGCCCAGCCTTGATTCCTACATTGGGTAGAGACACCATGGTTATGGGGAGGCGCTGAGGCTGGGAGTGGGGCTCTTCTGCCATAGGAAGGGAAAGTGAGCTGAAAAGACAGCCAGCCGCCTGCCAGAGAGCTCATAATTATAGCACCCCTTGGAGTTTTGAAGGCTGTGTTTTGCAATACACTGCCAGTTCAGTTTTTTTGAATTGGTTCATATGATGTGGTCTACAAGCTGGTGTTGGATGATAGATACATCAGTCAGATCTAGCGGAAAGGTGAAATATAAATGCAGGAAATAAATAAATGGGGGAGAGCAAGAACTAGAGATGACAGACGCTCTAGTAGATATACTCTTTCATGTAGATCCCTCTTTTTGCAGCATGCTTTTATCTCCTCACAGTTGTAGCAATTTGATTTTTGAGTGGTCTTACAGGATTTTACTTATATGTGGGAAAGTGTTCCAGTTACAGATAGGTAGCCGTGTTGGTCTGCCATAGTCAAAACAAAAAAAAATTCTTTCCAGTAGCACCTTAAAGACCAACTAAGTTAGTAGATTAGTATCTGAAGAAGTGTGTTCTTCAGGGTTAGTATCTGAAGAAGTGTGCATGCACACGAAAGCTCATACCAAGAACTAACTTAGTTGGTCTTTAAGGTGCTACTGGAAAGAATTTTTTTTTGTTTTGACTATGGCAGACCAACACGGCTACCTATCTGTAACTGGAACACTTTCCCACATATAAGTAAAATCCTGTAAGACCACTCAAAAATCAAATTGCTACAACTGTGAGGAGATAAAAGCATGCTGCAAAAAGAGGGATCTACATGAAAGAGTATATCTACTAGAGCGTCTGTCATCTCTAGTTCTTGCTCTCCCCCATTTATTTATTTCCTGCATTTATATTTCACCTTTCCGCTAGATCTGACTGATGTATCTATCATCCAACACCAGCTTGTAGACCACATCATATGAACCAATTCAAAAAAAACTGAACTGGCAGTGTATTGCAAAACACAGCCTTCAAAACTCCAAGGGGTGCTATAATTATGAGCTCTCTGGCAGGCGGCTGGCTGTCTTTTCAGCTCACTTTCCCTTCCTATGGCAGAAGAGCCCCACTCCCAGCCTCAGCGCCTCCCCATAACCATGGTGTCTCTACCCAATGTAGGAATCAAGGCTGGGCTGCCTCCTCTTTCTACTTCCAGAGAGGAGTGGAAGGAGTTCGCCCACCAAATGTGAGGGTTTGTCTGCCTCCAAGAGAAGGAATATGCAGTGCACACAGCACATACCTATTAATTTCCTTGACTGCTCCTTCGTCCAATCTCCATACACACACCCTGTGCAATCTTCAATGACTGCTCCTTCGCCCAATCTCCACCCTCCCCACCCGTCCCATGTTTCAGACATCACAATATATCACTAAATTGCAATGTTTAGTTTGTGATATACCTGGTGACATATCGCGATGTTGAAAAACAGGTATCACCCAGCCTGAGTTTCCACCAAGGTACCAAAGACTGTTTACACAGCTTAATATTTCTGTTAATATTCTGTTAATATAACAGAAACCAATGGTATAGTATTCCCAGCCTGATTTAAGGAGCTGATGGCACTAGCTACTTGGCCTTCTTGGCTTCTGCATGCAAGTCTACATAAGACACATTGCTCCTGCTTTCCTTTATTGCAGGCTTCCTCAACCTCGGCCCTCCAGATGTTTTGAGACTACAATTCCCATCATCCCTGACCACTGGTCCTGCTAGCTAGGGATCATGGGAGCTGTAGGCCAAAAACATCTGGAGGGCCGAGTTTGAGGAAGCCTGCTTTATTGCAATACTTTTTGTTCTCTTGGCTAGGGAATCTTAAACAGTGGGGACTAGTGCCCATTGGACTGGTAGGGAGGAAGGCCAACAGCACGTGAGGTCAAAGCTAATGACAGTCAGAACCTCCCCTCATTTCAATGAAGGTAAGGCTGAGACTAAGACTAAGGAGAAGGAAGCTTACAGCCAATGCCACTCTCTAAACTGGTTGTAAGAAAGAAGGGAGGAGGTGAGAACTGGCTGACTGCAGACTGAGGTTGGTTGGGTAGCATCCCATTTGACCCAATGGACCAGCCTCCACGACTTTAAAAGAATCTAACAAAAGCTGGATGGATTCTCAATACCGGAAAACTCTTATCAAGCAAAGAGCTAAACTCTTACTTTGTATAAGTAGTTAACATAGCCTTGAAAAGCCAAGAACAATGATTATGTACATGACCTTGTGGATTTCATACTTTGGAAGGTAGTCTTGATCCTGGAAAGCACAACAGAAGACCTTGGGGGGGGGAGAGGAGGGGTAAGGAAACCTGAGGATAAGCCAGAAGATATTGCTCTCTTTCAATATATATTGTTCATTAAGCACATTCACAGTTCTAATAATTCATAAGACTGAGGAATAAAAAAGTATTTATTTAATGTTTTTCCCCCATGTTCAAAGTGATTTGCATTTCCCTCATTGTTACAATGGGCTACTACTACCACTATGCCTATATTAAAAATGGGGAGCCTGAGGCAGATAGTGACTTGCCACACAGTGGATTCATGTCTGAGGAAAGATTTGACATAACCGCACAGCAACAGCTTTAGCAAGTGTGACAGAAGGCACTTAATCAACTTGGGATAAAAGAAGAAACTTCACATTTCTGTAAAACTGTCCATATGCTGTCAGGCTGAAGTAAAGTTCCAAATTTTTAGAAGCAAACACATAATTTTTAAGCACCAGTCATGCAGATAAGAGAATGAAAGATCTTTTAAACATCTGTACAACCAACTGCCCCATATTTTTCCATTTCTAATTCTGATAGATGACCTCCATATAACAGCAGCCTGTGTGTTAAAGTGCTCAAAAAGCCATTCAGAAACACAATTATGTTGAATGCTAACCA